TTGGCAAATCTAATCTAGGTGTGAGTATCCCTTTTAAGCATCTCAGTCCATCACATTTAGCTTTAGGAAGCAACGTAGGATTCATTTGCTGGCAAAAGCATTTTGGAAAATAGGCAATGAAAGCCATAGCCAGGAGAGAGATTGCACTGATGTTAGCACTGCAGTAATTAAAAATTATTAATTTAGCTCCAAACTTCTTCCCTTAAATATTTGCTTGGCAGCACCAAAGCAGCGGATGCAGAATTTGCATTTACTGCTTTGATACTATACTTTTCTGTCTGTGGTGACTTTCTGCTTAAATGATCCTGTTATGTATGATCAATGCCACTCTGAAACACAAAATTGGAATTCATTCATTAGGTAATGAAGAGATACCTTTTCTTTCTGCTACCAAACTTTCCTCACTTATCTCTTTTCTCATATTAGGACACTCATACACGTTTGGCTGGAGCATTATTTCAAATAAGCATTTCCATTTAGATCACCCTAACTAGATCAAAGACGAATGTATGAAATTGCATGGTACCAATACCTAGCAAATGTGATTTTTGTCCCGGCAAATTGCTACATCCTGCAGTGTTTCTTTCCTTGCAAAAATTTTATAGACTTTATGATGTCTGGAGCTGGATTCTAAAAGGAATTGCAAAGTTAGTAAAAGAGAGTTGTCTCAGTCTAAATTTAGACTTTTTTGAGTTAAATTGCAGATCACACGCAAGTTTTCCAGAGTTGGGAGATACTGTTTCACTCTATTTTTCCCTTCCTTGGCCACTGCCCGCTTTCCATACCATGGACATGTTTCATCATAAATTCATTCATTCTCCTTTTAAACTCATACTTTTCTTCACTTAAATACAGAGCCTGCAGTTCATTAAAGGACCTAATGCTTTGCATTCTACCAGAAATCTAATCTATACCCTCCCCATAAAACCACTCATTTTCCATGATTGTCCAGCAAATTGAATTTATCCCCCTGGTCATTGTAAGCAGAGCATTGTAAATAATTTGGCTTTCTGCCACTGATGAACAAAGAAATTTTGCTGTATTTTGTTGCTATGTGACAAGCAAAGCTTGATCTTCAGTGAGCACTTCTTATTTCTGCTCCTGAGGATGAGATAATAACATGTGCACACTCTCTATTGACCAGCTCTCAAGCTACTGAGAATGTGATGAGAAGATTTCTTTCCATGCACTTGATTTTTGGCACGCTAAGATATGAATTTGGTGTGTTAAGCAAAGTGGAGCGAGGCTCAGAGTAAGAGATCAAAGAAGTTTAAGGGGATAACTGTCAAAATTGTTTTGAGAGTCACTTCAGTGTTAAAAACTTGTAAGCCTTCATTAACTGTTTCCTGCACCACAAAACAACCACAGGGGAGAAAAATCAACTTAGAAATACTGACAGCAACTTTTCCTGTGCTTGTAAATGGCTTTTTTTTTTTTTTTTTTTTTTTACATGGTCAGCCTTTGGTTCAGTGCTTACCACAGAATTGCTGGGGAAGAATCAGGCTGTCTCTGTGCTATGAACAGTGCCGTGCCCTTGGGAACGGTCTGGCATTGCTTTTTGGCTGCACAGACCCACGGGAAAGTAATAAAAGCAGATCCAAAAGCTGCATGGCAACTGGTACAAACAGCAGTAAATAAAGATTTGAAAAATCTTGGGAGACAGCATGACTGAAATAGCAGAAGGGGAATAATAGTAAGAACTATTTGCAGCCCTTTCCATCTGAAGATACTGTGCTGCTTTACAAATATTATTTAGTCCTCACAATAAGCTGGTGAGGTATATACATATCATTTATACACATTTTGATAAAGGCACCAAATGGTTTTTTGATGTGTCTAAGAAAACCCAGACTACCAGCAGTTTATTAGAAGTTACTATCTACCCACCTAGTTTTACAGTTCCTTAAAAACAAGAGATTTCATGTGCCAGTATCTGTAGAAGGGGCCTCTCTCCACACCTGTAAGTCACTTCTGCTAAGGGTGAAGTCTGTTGCTAGCTACAGGTAGTTGTGAGAGCTTCTAGTGTAGAATATAAAAAAGAAGGTAGGATTGGACATTTGCATCCGGTTTGAGATGTAGCTGGTAAAAAATAAAAGAATGTGAAGATTGAAGGGTATCACATGCATAAATTAATTATGCTTTGTGGCAGCTGTAAATATCAAAGTTAAAATATAGTACAGTCAGAAAAAAAAGACCTTATAAATAATGACATTCTTTTCTGCTTTATCTGACTAAGTCCAATTTGCTCCGGTTACAAATCAGAGCATGCCTTTTCCTAAGATATTTTCCAGCAAACTTAATCCGGGCTATCAAACTCATGTCTTTCTTTTTTGCATATAATTATTGATATCATAGATACAATATAATCAAAACTTCACAAGGCAGTTTGGACATATGCTTTACCTCCATGCAATCTGATTAGCTTTTGCCAGTACAGGTGTTACTTTGAAAATGCAGTAGCTTTGCTCTTTGGCATGTCTCATGAAAGCTGACATTCAGTGTTTTCAGTAACACTTGGCTGAGAATCATCTGATCCACTGACCTTCAGAAGGTTTGCATTCTTACATCCCTTTAGAGTACATCCACATAAAAACTGCAGTTTTGGAACAGTAGATATAAGCACACATACCCAAACCACCTTTAATCTAGCTGTCTTGACTATTGTAAAATCATGGAATCAAGGTAGCTCTGGTGGGAAAGTACCTTAGGAAGCTGCCAGTTCAATCTCCTAGTGAAGACAAGGTCAGTGGTGAGGTCAGACCAGGTTGCTCGGGGCTTTTTCTGGTTGGATTTTCAAAACTTCCAAGGATCTTGACAGTACAACCTCTCTGGGAGACCAGTTCCAGTGCTTCCCTGTCCTAATGTTAATTTATTTTTTTTCCTTATAACTCACCTGAAACACGTTTCAATTTATGTCCACTGACTTTTATCCTTCTGCTGTGTACCACTAGGAAAAGCCTGACCCTGTCCTCTTGATGACCACCTTGTAGGCATTGGAAGACTACTACTGGCATTGCCAAAAGCCATCTCTTCTGCAGACCAAACAAGCCTTGTTCTGTCAGGTTCTTCTTACAAAGTGAGTACTCCAGTCCCCTCTAGCTTCTCAGGGCACTCCTGCAGAACGTGTTGCAGCTCATTGATGTCTTTCCTGTCCTGGGGGTCTAAAATTGAATATAGTATTATGTGATCCAACAAATGCTGAACAAAGAGGCATAATTACCTATCTTATCTGCAGGTGATGCTCTTGTTAATGTAGCCTTCTGCTCACCTCTGCTTCCAAGGCACAGCACTGGCTGATGTTCAGTTCACTGTCTGCCAGGACCCCCAGGTGTTTTTCAGCAGAGCTGCTCCCCAGCCTAGCAGTCCTCAGTAAGTCCTCATTGCAAGGCATAGCTTGCTCTGAACTTTATCTCTGCCTGTTAGATTCTCTAAGTTTTCTGCTGGCCCTTGAATGGCAACCCTGCCCTCCATAGTATTGACTAGTCCTGTAGTTTGTTGTCATCTGCCAGCTTGAAGAGCATGCACTCTTACCACTTTCTCCAGGGCATTAATGAATACAGTAAAAGGGACAGGTCCCCCAGACAGACCCCTCTGGTCTGTATATGTGTTACTGACCTCCAGTATACACTATACATTAACCACTTTCTCTGAAGTCAATCATCCAGCCAGTTTTTTTAACACTTTCTTGTCTACTTAACCAGACCATGATGTCTCAACTTGGTTTTGAGAACACTGTAGGATGCTGTGTTAAAATCTTTGCCATATTTGGCATGAATAACATTCACTGTTCCGCAATGACAGACTTTTTGTTGTGGTAGGCAGTTGGGTTGGTCAGTTGTGACTGTTGCCAGTCTTCTTTTGCTTATGTGCCCAGAAATGTCTTCCAAAAGGACATGCTCCATAATATTTGGTTCCAGTCTCCTGGGAATGAAAATGAGGCTGATCAGGTCATAATTCAATGAATCACTGTTTTGGCCTTTTGAAGATAGGTAATGTATTTGCCTTTCTTCAGTTACTGAGAATTCCCTGGTGTCTGTGACTTTTCAAAGATGATAGAGAGCAGCAGGGATTAGTTCTCTTGGTATCCATAGATATAGTCCGTCTAGTGGACTTGAATGCGTGGATCTTTCTCAAGTAATCTCTAATTTACTCCTTATCTACTGCAGGTGGTAATTCTTCTCCTTGAATCTTATCTCTGAAAGGGAGACCTTGTTGGTGAACGCAGGCATCGAGTACCTCAGCTTTCTGAAGTAGCTCTTTCAATTATCTAGTAGCTCTGAAAAGGCAGAATAGTTATGAAACTTCATCATTTCTTCTGGTCTGATTTTCATAGTTGTGGAGGGTTAGGCTGGGATAAGAATTCCCAATAACAAATGTTGGTCTCACCTTCAACCATGCTGCAGTTTCCTTTTCCCATTGAACTGATTTGGTGTGCTTAAGAAGGATCATTCACTGGGAAAGCTTTGTCAGAGAGTGTTCTACAAAGGCAGCACCCTTGATGTAAGACCTTCTTTCATCCTCATTTTTTGCTGTGCATCACTGTAGTTCCCTTGCACATTACTCATCTGTATGCATCACTGTATTATTACGTGTATGATCTACATTTGAGATGGTCCTAATCTCTTTAAAAATATTGATACTTGAATGTAAATAATCACTGTCATGTACCCATAGCCTCCCCACACATAAGCAGAGGCTGAAGCAAAGGTACATATACGGTGATGGTGGGAAAACAAGTGTAAAGGTTCTGGAGTAAGCCTGCCTTCCAGCCCTTCTATTCCTCTGCAGTGTTTCGGATGCTGCTGTCTGTGTAGTGACAGCGGGGTTTGCTGTATGATGGTGTGGTAAGTAACATTGATCAACTTTTTAAAGTTTTTCTGAGTCTGAATTCGTATTTCTCTAAACATGTGTAGACAGAGCTGCTTAATTCCCAACTATTTTCCTTCTCTTTCTTTTATCTATGACCATTGTTTTATGGTAAATTTAGAAGTGTACATTTATTTTATTTTTCTAAGTCCTTTTATATTTGTTTCCCTGCGTGTATTGTGTTTAGTTAGAAGGAATGAGAAGAACTATGTCTTGTCAAATAAGGAGGCCAGGTTCAAACCAGGTCCTGAATGCATTGGTCAGATTAAAGGCTGTCTGTTTGAGTGAGTGTGGGAAGAATCACATTTCAGTCTTCTACTGAAGAAGAATAGAGCCTTGCTCTGGTGCCCTGAAGGAACCCATCATCACTACCAGCACAGTTCTCTGACTTATAACTTGATTTCTATTCTAGGGATAAGGAAGATTACTGAAGTCTTTCACACTAGCAGAGAATTCATCTCTGACAAAGAGTTCCTGACTGACTGCTCAGGAGATGTGAAGAGGGTTGAATGGACTTGGAGAAGCCAGCCTCTTTTCCACATATACTTTTCTGTAGGTTAGAAAATGACTCATTGGACAGATATGTGAAACTTTATAAAAATGGAGGAAAAAAAAAACAGGAAATCCTATGGGTTTTCTGCTGAAAAACATTTCTGCTGTGTAAATGGAATAGTCGACAGAAATTCCCTGTTATGGTAGTTGGGCTGGTTCGTGCAACAACTGTGCTACTGAAGTGGTAGCTTCCAGTGCATGCTTGGACAAGGCTTCATGAAGACTCAGCAGTCTCCAGATATATACATAATAAAGATACTTATTTTTTTACTTCTTTTTTCAACACAAACAACTTTTCTAGCTTTTCAGAAAGATGATCAGCATAGCCAAGCATTGAATTCGAAATCTATTGGGCCACACTATATTTTATGTGTCTCTTATTGTAGACTGTACAGATACACAGTAGGTTGGACAGATGACTACAACAGTAATGTAAATATGAGTTACAACAAGCAACTAGTTTGGATATTGTCTGGGAATCTGAAACTAAGTACCCTAATCCATATGCTGAAGGAGGACTTTTTTTTTCTTTTCTTCTTTACTTCCCTTTTTTCTGAGTCTTGAGGTTAACCAGTATACTTTCATTTGGTGTGTAACGTTCTGCATTTCCATCCCATACTTAACACTCCTGGAGCTGCATGCCTGAGAACTGTATCCATTGAGATGGAACAGAGAACAGATTGCTACCTTAGTAATGTCAGAAAAACTTAAAACTGTGAGCTGTAAGAGCTCAAAGGGCTTGACCTAATTGCAGCTTTCATTATCTGAAGGGATCCTATAAACAGGAGGAGAGTCAACTCTTTGAAAGGGTTGATAACTGCAGGACAAGGGGAAATGGTTTTAAGTTGAGGGAGGGAAGATTTAGGTTGGATGTCAGGGGGAAGTTCTTTACAGAGAGAGTGGTGAGGTGCTGGAACAGGCTGCCCAGAGAGGTTGTGGATGCTTCCTCCCTAGAGGTGTTCAGGGCCAGATTGGATGGGGCCCTGGGCAGCCTGGTCTAGTATTAAATGTGGAGGTTGGTGGTCTTGCATGTGGCAGGGGGGTTGGAGATTCATGATCCTTGAGGTCCCTTCCAACCCTGGCCATTCTGTGATTCTGTGAAGTCTAGAAGTCAAGTAAGAATAAATCACTTCAATATATTAAAAAATCTGGTAGATGTATTGAATCAATCACTTTACTTTGTGGGAAAGGTAGCTGACTTGTGGAGTTACACATGTGAAGTCTGCTTTTCAGTTCTGAGCTGACTTTGATGAAACAGAACTGGCTTTATTTAAACTCATACACCTAGTGAAGAATGGATTGATAATGAAGAATTTCCATGTCCTCTCAATGAACGCACTTAATTGAGCAGCTATTACTAGAAAAGGTAATCCCATATGTCATTAGTTGATTAACTGCACCACAGATATGCTTCAGAGGTATCGTTTGTTTTGCTCGCCTTAGTATTAATATGAACACAACATTCTTTTTTTTTCTTTTTTTTTTTTTTGTGATAGTATGTAGAGCATATGCTAATCTTGTTTAAAATATAAATTTGTATATTCTGCCAAGATAGACTAAAATTGGAACTTCACAAAGGTAAGCATTGTTCAAGGCTTGCAGGATTTGACTTATGGATGTGAACAACAACTTAATTATTACAGAAAATAAGGCATAATTATCATCACCTGACATTCAGTTCAGCTTAATAAAAGCTCATCTTGTACATGTGCCTAATGTGTGCGCATTAAGCTGTGTAGAGTTCCAGCTAACTGTATTTCTTCAGTCTCTCTGTTGTCTGCCAGCAGTTTGCATTAGTGGGAGAACAGCAGTGGGTTAACAACAGAAGAGTTTAACAAATGGAAATGGTTGATTGTTTTGTATTTGTTCCGCAATTTTTGCAATTCAAAACTCTTTTCTTCCCCCTCCCCCACTCCACTTTCTACAGGGCAATTTGCAAAAAGGAAGAAGACTTCACTTTGGTTCACAGTCTCTCTACTGGTGGTGTCCATTTTCATACTGACCATAGGTCTGGCAGCTACAACAAGAACAGAAAATGTTACTGTGGGAGGCTACTACCCAGGCATCATTGTGAGTAAAGAAACCTACTAGATAACTATATCAGCTGGATACAGGAAACTCTAACTCATAAAAAGAAAACAAAGGAAATAATTTGTATTGCATTTCACAGAAAGAAGATGCTTATTTGTTTTGATCTAGTTCTAGTGTGTGATTATGCAGGGGAGTAAACACTGAATTGCCCTGAAGGGGAGGCTTTCAGGGGACACAGAGGGACCAAGTTTGCACCACACAGCAGTATGCTGAACTCCTTGGCCTGTGCTGAAGGCAGTGCCTGACTTCCCAATAATTTGTTACAAATGTGGGCATACAAGGGACTACATGACAGGCATTTTTACTACCCTGATGGTGCAAAGAGTCACTCTGTTCTTCTGCCTACACGCCAAGAATTCTGCTAGGTCTAGTGGAGGGAAAATGCTATTGATGGGCATATGGAAGCTTCTCCCTAGAGTCTACCAATGTTCTACATCTTCTTGTACAGTCTTGGGGTGTCCTCATGAACAAGTTCTCCTTCCAGATCCTTTGTTTTGTTTTTACTTTTGGAGCAGGGCGCTTAAACATATACCTGCACTGGAGATGAGGCTTATGCTGCATCTGTTTAACTCTGTAGTGCTCCTGTGTCTTCTGGGGAGGCCTTGCTGGTTCAACCCCTATGGCTTTTTCTAATCTCAGAAGTGATTGGTCATATCTAAAAGAGTGGAAAACTTTGGGAGATGAATAGTTTTTTTAGGTGAATGAACTGAATTTTAGAAAAAAAGAAAAACAAGGGCAGCAAAGTCTCTATGCCTGATTTGCTCTCCCCTAGACAGCAAGAGGAGGTAAAGCATGCAAAGAAAAAAAAGAAAAGAGGTAGGTACCAAAGAGGTACCGAATGAGGGGTGAGGGGTCTGGAGCACAGGCCTTGTGAGAAGTGGCTGAAGGAGCTGGGATTGTTCAATTTGGAGAGGAGGAGGCTCAGGGGTGACCTTACTGCTCTCTGTAACTACTGAACAGGGGCTGCAGTGAGCTTGGGGTCAGCCTCCTCTCATGTAACCAGTGATAAGATGAGGAGGAATGGACTCAAGTTGCACCATGGGAGATTCATGTTGGATGTTAGGAAATATTACTTTCCTGAAAGAGTTGTTAGGTGTTGGAATAGGCTGCCCAGGGAGGTGGTGGAGTCACCGTCCCTGAAGGCGTTCAAGGAATGTTTAGACATTGTTTTCAGGGATGTGCTCTAGTGAGAACTATTGGTGATAGGTGGATGGTTGGACCAGATGACCTTGTAGGTCTTTTCTAACCTTGGTGATTCTATGATTCTGTGGATGTGTTGCAAGGTTCTTGTTCTCTGTGAAATGAAATTCCCAGAGAAGAGGGCATTTCATCTTTTAATACTGTGCATACATTTTGCATTGCCATTAATAACTTATGAGTTAGAACTGTTCCTCCTAAGCAAGTCCTCTTACATCTTAGTGTAATGTTGAGAATAGGTCTTTCAGAAAGATAATTTTGGGATAATGATCTGTAAGGAGTGGTGTTTTAAAAATAGTACAAGAAGTAGTTCCAATAATAAGACCTTAGAAGAATGACTCTTCCTTTCATTAAACTGAAATAAATATATTAATAGTGATAAAAATCTTCTGTAAATTGAATTAAAGTATTTTAGAAGGTCACATTTTCTGCATTTGTTCCCTTGAAAGGAATTTCTTTGGAAAGCTATGTAGAGTCAGTGTAAGAAGCCATAAACTCATGTGCTCAGAAATTTTTTTTTCAGCATTTAGTTTCTTTTAGAAAGAAAACAATGTCTGCTCACCCATAAAAATAAAATAATATACTAATTTTTAAATGTTAGCCATTAATATTCAAAATAGCTAGGATATATCGGAATGTTTTGAAAACAAAGTCTTTGTTATTACATTTTCCCTTCAGAAAATTGTTGGTTTTCCTAAAATCTGGAATTCTTTTTGTGCACATGCTGTCTTACTGAACAAACTGAGAAAGAGTGGTGGTTAATTGGTATAAATATTTTGCAACCCTTGTACAATATCTGGCCAAGTCAGAGGAGCTCTGCTGTCCCTTCCCTGTTTTTTGAGATTGCTGACTCCAGTGCAGCACTGACAGATGGCTATGGAAGACCTTTCAGAGCTCAATAACCCTCAAAAGGTGCTCCTCTTCTCCACGGGCAGTAGAAGGAGCTTAGAAAACTGGCATAGCACTGATCCCAAACTTCTAAATAGCTAGAGCTTGGTAAGTGAATTCCACGTTACCTATTTAATTGTTGGGCTCAGAGAAGTTTAGGAGATCAGACAGTGCCAATTTCAATTAAAAATAACATCTAGTTCTCATAGAATTTAACAGTAAGAAACTAACTTTCAGGCTGGAAGTTGGAGCTTCTTCAACCTTGCTTCCTTATAAATACTGTTTATACTTAAATACTTCTTACCACTTATGTGTGACTATTACTTGTATTTTTTTAATAATCTTTTTTATAATCTTTCAACCAGGAGATTGCAGAGTCCAAATATTTCTGTCATCATATTACTCTAATTTCCAGAGTTCCCAACCCAAGCAGCTTATTATCTTAACAGACAGGAAAAGCAGCAAATATAACACTAAACCAATCTCAGTAATTCTGTGGTCTTATGGTATGATCTCTATCTGTGGTTCTACACCTTCTGATTAAACTGCTATTGTTCATTATTTACTGTTTTTTTGGTGTTTTTTTTTTTTTCTGCATGTGGATAATATTGCTCCACTGTGTCCACTCTATAAGCCTTAAATGGGACTGCATGGGTTTCTCTTCTTCTGATGAAAAATTGGTGTTGGAACCAGCTGTCATTTTGATGTAGTTGTGTTAATTTACGAAGTTGCTGTCCCCTGAACGCCGTGTCCTTGCTCACAGTTCCAAGTCTCTCTCTTATTCAGCAGTCAGCTCAGACACGCTTCCACACTCTTTTAGTCTCTGCTTTTCACACTTGTGCCTCCCTTTCACATAAATCTTCCCAAAACACTCAATAGCAAATCCCTTTTCCTACATTTGCCTTTTGAGGAAGAATCATGGGTTCCTGGTGTGATATTAAAGTGCTTACAGGAGATTTGCTTTCTGATGTGAGCAGTTGTGCATAAGAGCAAGGAGTTCATGGGCCTCACTCAAGCCCTTGGCTGGGATGCTTAGTCCTTAAAAACTTAATTGGGCTTGGAAAAGAGACTTTGAAGTTAGCACCAGGAAGGGGGTTAGACTCCTTAACAGAAAAGTGATGCTCCATCCATGGAGTGATTGTTTGTGAGCTAAGGGTATGGTTGAGAGCTTCTCCAAGCAGAGTAGAGCCATCTGTAGCAAAGAGTGGAGCCAGAAATGTGAAAGTGATGAGGTTGAGACTAAGGTGGTGGCGAAGAATCATAGTCAGGCAAAGCAAGAAGAGAGAAGCAGGAGAAAGCCCAATGGCACTAGCACTGCTGTGGCTGTTTCTAAACCTCTGGCCAGCTAGGTCTTGCCTGTGGGGCACACTTTTATTCAAATGAACATGAGCCAGATGGGAAGGAATCCTGATGCCAGAAAGCTGGAATGAAAGGCTGGTTTCCCCGTAGTCACTTTACCTCGTGTTGGACAAGAATGCAAGCAGTTTCCATCTCTCCAAACTTTCGCAGGCCCCTAATAGGGAGCGGCATTTTCCTGCCGCCCTGTTTCTAAAGCAGCACTGACAAGAACAAATGCTGCTTTACTCTACCTTCCTTTCCTCCTCTCTCCCGTTATGGTTGTGACTGGTCCTTGTCTTTTTGGCATTTTAGCAGGGACTTTTTCTGTGTGATAGTGTTTAGTCATTAAAACCAAACAAACCCAATGTAGGGTTATGAATTTAGGTCACTTGCGTGGCAGTAAAGCACCTGTTTTTTGAGGAAAACTCCTGTTAACTTAAGCTGTACATTTTTCCAAGACAATGATGTGTGGGCTAAATGTCAGTGTTCTTTCCTCCCACATCACTTAATTTTTGCTTTACAATTTGTAAAACAATATGTGATAATGGTGACAATAGGCAGGTTATAAAAGCATATATTTTCACAGACTTTCCTTTATTAGATTACAAGTTTTAATCTGAAATATTGAAGATTTGGATTTCTGGTCATTCCGTGTTGCATTATATGATTATCCAGTGATAATATTTACCTTTTCCCCTCACCCATCCCACATAGTGGTATGATTAACCTGCTCAGATTTCACTGTTGTGGTTTAGTATGTTGACCAAATAATCTGACCTCGTATGTTTCTGTTGGTTTTGTTCTTTACCTTAGCTTGGCTTTGGATCTTTCCTAGGGATTGTTGGCATCCACCTGGTAGAGAACAGAAGACAAATGGTAAGCAATATCACTTTTTGTTCTAATTTTTTGTATCACGATGTCTTAAAAACACAAAGAGCAGAAATTTTCAGTTGACTTAAAACTGCTCCAATAAGCTCCAAAATATTAGTCATTTTTTTCACATTTTCTAAGAAGCAGCTGAGAAGTATGAAGTGACCATGTTTCTATCTGTATCGAGCAAGGGATGATTTATGGGGTCACCATTTCTGACAATAAAAACCTGTTTTTTTTTTTTTTTTTTAAACTAAATTAATTTCAGCTGATTTAGTGAGTTGATCCAGAGAAGGGTCAGATGAGTGTGAGTTTGTCCAGGACTGTGCAGCAGAGAAAAGGATGGGGAGGGAGGCAAAATGGATGTGATATGCCAGTTTGGGCATCAATGTGCCAGTGATCTGCTCTATCATAAGAGGCAATTTCATCCTACGGAAGTTTCAATCAACAATGCTTTCCTAAAAATCTACATGTTGAAAGGAAGAATCTTGCTGTCAAGATTCCCTGACTAAATCAGACAGGATATGATATTGCTTTGTGGTTTGTTTTATATTTAGCTTGTCTTGCGAACCCCTTGCTTTTATTTACGTGAGGAGGTTGGAAAAAGTCGTTGGGGCCATCTGGGTAAAGAAAGGTGTGTTGGACTGGGTTTGTAGAAAGTCTTAGAGTTTTCTTGCTCTCAGCAAAAAATAGCACTGTCTTGGTTGAATAAAATCATGTCCAACGTGTACTTTACAGTAGACTGATTACAGCTAAGCATTATGAACTACAATTCATTTAATAATGCAGAGCCTTCACAGGTGTAAATCAAAAGAGTGATGTTAAGCTTAGAGGAAGAAATGATTGATGTACCTTACATTTTTTAAGTGGTCTGTTGTGATCTCCTGTTTCCTTCTTAGTAATTCCCATCTTGATTTCATTATTTGTAGGTAAACTTATTTCATAATATCAGGGTTGGGTTTTTTTTGCATTTTTTTTGAAACTTTAAGTGGTATACTTTCAAATACTGCTCTACTTTGCTTTTGTTTCTGCCTGGGCTTCCCAAAGAAATGAGACTGATAAAGTCATGAGGTTTGTCTGTATCTTTCTCTATTCCTCATTCAGTTTTTTGAATGTGTTAACCAATTTCAGGCAAATTCAGCAGGGAGGTGGAGACCCCAGGGATGTGCAATTCAAGTTTCAGAAAATATGCGGGTGGCAGAGAAAAGAAGTATAAATTAGTTACCCTCTGGTGCTATGGTGTTGGCTCTCCACCCTGGAAAACTAAGGATTCCAAGTGGGATGTGACCTGTGAGACATGAATCTGCAACATTAATAATTAATTTTGCTGGTAACAAAACAGCTTATTTGTTTTTATAAGAACTGTTTTCTCTATTTGTAAATTGGAGACAAGGATGAACTCCAAGGTTCCAAGTTGCAAGCTAAAGAAAGAGGGTACATAACAATACCACTGTCTTCCACAGCATTCATGCTACTTTACTAACAACCATAATATTTTAGGCTTATTTTATCTTTCATTTTTCCCCTGTCCTGCCTCTTAGTTCTCCAGTGCTTCTGTGTTTACCAGAAAATAAAATGGCGTATAAAAAGAAATAAGGTGGATGAGATCCTGCCAAAGCTTGTAAGACTCAATGCGTTGTATCGTTTGCACAAGGAGAGGGGATAAAACCAGTATTTTTGGTCCTGGAGCCTGTTTACATTTCCCAGCGTGGAACAAGGAAAACAGCTTTCTATTAATAACAGTTATGATCTGGCTGTTGAAACACTGCTTTGTTAGTGAACAGACCAAGAAAATAACTAGAAAGTTTAATTATGCTTGTTGTTCTGAGTATCATCCACAGTAGGCAAAGCCTTTAACACTATCCAGCTAAGGCTGAGTGGCTTGCTTTCACATGTTTCAGAAATGAGTTGGAAAGGGTTTACATCATACTACAACTGAGGGCAGCAATTATTCCCTGGAGTGTGGCTGAGTACATATAATTGAAAAGGTTTAGGGCAGCTTAAACAAATTTGCAGGCATCAATAATTTGTAAATACTTAGATAAGCATAGAAATGTAATAGAAAAAAATCATATTCTGGTAACTCAAATTTCTATTTCTTGCATCACAACAAAAGAGGACATGGAGGAAAAGGAATTGTTTACTCAATTACTTCTTTTTTAACTGGAATTCCTTTGACACTTACTTCTGTATAAAACTTGAACTTAACCCAGTGTAGCTCTGACAGTTTTTTGGCCCCTGTAATGAATCAATACTTCATTCTTGCTGGTTTTTTTTTAGTTGAAAATTAAAGTGGATTCAGTTACATTAGAAGAAAAAAACCACACCTGTTTCTAATTGATGTTTTCATAAATCCATTTCTAGTTTTTATCTTGAATTTGTATTTATTTGTCATCTGCCCTCTGTAAGTCTAATTTTTTTCACAGTTGATGAAATGCTAAGTGCAGTATGAAATATGTAATGGTTAGCAGAGCTGGTCCAGCAAAAATCCAGCAGTCAATAAATGTAAACACGGAGTTTGAGAAAGAATGAAAGCACACTTAGGCAGAATGGACGATGGGTTGTTCTTAAAACACAACATTAATAATGCTGCACTTCTTTGACCTTGTTCTTGGCATTCCAGAGTCACAGTAGGACTTCAATGTGCTGACCAAGGTATAACCTTTAATTTAAAGGAACTGCTACTTGCAGAATCAGGCTCTGCCTCATTGACTAGCATGATTTCACTTGAGCTCTCAGCATTCGTGCTTGCCTCTGTTATGCAGAGCTTGGCACCAGTAGAATAAAATCTCCCTTTGACTGAGGATAAGATGCCTTTGCACTGATTCAGGATGTTTAGAACTAGCAAACAGCAGAAATTGAAGCATAATGTGCTGCTGTTCCCTTTTTCCTCCCCTGTCCCCTGGCAAAGCAGGCTATGGTTTAAAGAACAGAGCGTAGCTTTATGGTGCCACATTCCAAAGGCGTATAGTCCTGATGGATGTGTGCAAGATACTACAATACTTAAATCAAATGTAGCTGATTATGTGACATGAAGTATCCTTGCTTATTTGATTGCTTGCCTGCCATCTCCTCACAATACAGTACAATGTATTTCTGATTAGAAAACAAGATGCTAAAATTAGTTAGAGAGGTAGGGAAGGATTAGTGTTGGTAGGCACAAATTAGCAAAATGTATGTAAAAAACGATCAGTGAGGATACCTACTCTGCTCTGTTCAGACACACTGTGCTTCTTGTTTTTCTTGCCAATCGAGCATCCTGAAAGAAACTGGCTTTAGTGTAGATTTTCGTGAGATGCTAATTGCTGACAGATTCCATACCACATATTAAGCTAATTGAAGCATCAAGATTACATGAAGAGAAATACCATTAAAATTCTGTAGACTACACAAATATATGGAATAAGTCCTTGCTGTAGTGCCAGAGGAAATGCAGATCATTTTCATTACTGAAGTAGTAAGTCTTACTGGAACTCATGCTGCCAAGAAGGTCTACAGCATTTCTCTTTTTTCAGTGATTATAGTGATTATTTTTTGTGTGCTTATATTTCAGACTATTCACGGAAAAACACTTAATTTTGATGTAAAAATAATAACAACAGAATAAATTAGCAATCATCCTTATCTTGTTCAGCACCTTTAAAATGATGACAACTGTAAAGTCCTGTTACCATACTTTCAGTCATAAATGTGTGCTAGATGTTATGGTTTGATTTAACTGCACATTTTGTAACCAGACATGGAGATTTGTATACAGGTAAGCACTTCAGGTTGACAGTGACTCTTGTATGAGGTCAAGCATAGCTTGTATGAGCATATTAACTCTTCGAAAGGGTAGATAACAGCAGGACAAGGGGAAATGGTTTTAAGTTGAGGGAGGGAAGATTTAGGTTGGATGTCAGGGGGAAGTTCTTTACAGAGAGAGTGGTGAGGTGCTGGAACAGGCTGCCCACAGAGGCTGTGGATGCCCCATCCCTGGAGGTGTTCAAGGCCAGGTTGGATGGGGCCCTGGGCAGCCTGGTCTAGTATTAAATGTGGAGGTTGGTGGCCCTGCCTGTGGCAGGGGGGTTGGAGATTCATGATCCTTGAGGTCCCTTCCAACCATTCTGTGATTCTGTGATAGCTCTTTTTTAAATATCTGCATTTCTTTCATAATATAACAGTATCTTATGAGCTGATAAATTCAAGCAGCTTATTCCTTGAGAACTTCTTTCATAGAGCACCAACATCTTCCTGTTCTCTTATGTTTAGCTCCTGGACTGCTGTCATGAGATGTCCTTTAAAAGCATCTCCTTCTCTCCTTACACCTTGGAAGGAACCTTCAAAGGTGATTTAGACTAGACTATTGAGTTTTAGGAAGCTAAAGAGTCGTAAAAATAATCCCATGTTAAGTGATAGTTATATTTGTCTTCGGTAATCCTGAGATCACAGAAGGTATTGTACAGTAACTGCACAGTTTTAAAGCAGGGAAGTATGTATGTATGTAGACTGTCCAGTCTCCTTTTATCTATAAACATGGTGCAGTCTTCAATGTTAGCTCCCTTATTTGGCAGGAAGCTGCTTTGTAGCCCCTTTTTAGTACTTTTGGAGAAGGATTTTGCATGTCATCCATGCATGGTAGTTCTAGGAAATCCCCAGTATTCCTTGTCATGAAGGAAAATTCATATGTAGAAGTAGGGCAAATAACTGGAGATGTTGTGAAGACTCAGTTATGTCAGCTGAAAAGGAGGAGGACAGGTGTATGTCTGTGGGTATGAAAGCACCTTCTAAAGTAAAGGCGAGTGAAATTTAAAAAAGGAAACTATATAGGCAATAAAAATGTGGGTAGTAGGAAAGTTACTTATATTCTATTTTAGTTAGTATGTTATGAGATATTTTTATTATTACTAAGTATTTCAAGAATGAAGGACTGAGTTAAAATATGCTAGAATTTTTTATTCCATTCTTTGACCTTGTGCATTAAAAATGATTATTTCCAATATATAGTAAATACAAATATACTACAG